CACGGATAAATTGTTGGTGCAGATATTGTTGGATCTTTGAAGAGTCAGGCTCTCAAATTCTAAATAGAAGACATGTATATTTCAGGGGAGATTTATTTAGTCCTTTGCTCTTTCAACTCATTTTACTCGCAGTGGATAGCATTGGCCTTCATTGCCAGGGGAGAATCCACTCTGAAAAACAAAGCAGATTATCCGTCAACTCCTTTTTCAACGACATTTTATGTCCTTCGACTTATCCATCTCACCCAACCCAGGCTAATTGTGTAGAAACACACATCTCAGCTCATGAGTTTCGATAATAAATACGCTCTCATTTATTCCCCATGGCTAGGGTGCCCAAAGACATGTCATGGCCATGAGGATGTGGATTTGTATGGAACAGTTGTGTTTTTATGCTGTAAGTAACTCTCTCTATCTCTATATATAACATATCATTAAATTTAATTCTGGACTCAAAAAGTCCAGAAACTCTCCGCACTGTAGGCCACTTTCTGACAAGAGATTTGACAAAATTAAACACGCAGTTGTTATGCATATATGCTAAGGATGGAAAAATTACAACAATTTTTCGAAAACTCTTTTAAATTTAAACTAGCTCGCCCATGGGCCGGCCAGGGGTGAAAATGTTCACTCTCTCACTCAGAATTCATGTTTTTTGGAGGTTGTAAATGAATGTATGTTTTTTATAAGCATCATGACACAGATTTCGTCTCAGTTCGACTAATTTAGTTCAGCTAATTTAATTCCTGGCTAATTTTAATTCGGCTAATTTAGGAGCTGATATAGCCCATCTCGCCCATCTGGCCCATGGGCGAGAATATTCTAATTTTACTCAACATACATGTTTTTCCATGTTTTGGAGATTGTAAAATGAATGAGGGTATGGTTATAAGTGTCATGACACACATTTCAATCCTATTTTGACCAAATTCGACTAATTTAGAGAGATATAATAGCAATAATAATAATAATAACTAGGATTGCCTCCTGGGCAATACTGACGGTCTTCAGACTTCCCCCATACACCCCTCCGTGGCTACCTTCACTTGTACTGTTTCTTTGGACGCCAGCTGGAGCGTCCATTTTAACTCTCGGAGTTACGGGTGTTTGAAGAGTATTTAAGGGCTAGAAAGCGTTCAAAACCCAGGCAGAACACGTTTTTGACACGAGAGCGGATCGGTGAAATGCAGCCGGGGTCGCGGGGTCATGTACCTTTTAAGTAGTTCTGGAGAAGATATAGTTCTCTCTTGAACAGGCCGTAGATCCGCTGTCCTTGGGTCTACGGTCCATACGATTAGTGTTCTGGAATCGCCGTGATCCTAGCTATCTGACGCATACACGTATGTGCAAATACTGCACTTGTGAAACAACCATAGATTTATGTGTGTATATAGTGCATTTGTTAAACACCCATTCAAAATCAATGTTTATTAATGCAAACTTGTTCTTGACGCTGTATGGCTAAGGATAATGCCGATGTAACGCCATTTCTTTGGGCATTGGATGACGTTCCAACTCAGATTTGACAGCTCCTTGTCATTGTCAATTACATCTGTCGTTGAAATTGACATCGTCTCCCATATCTGCACGTGGACCACGCTTTGCAGTGGTAGTCTCTTTATAGGAGATATATGTTCTCCCGCGTGAGCGCCCATCTGATAGTGAACAACCTGAGGGAAGTTTATCTGTATCATAAATTGCAACTGTGTGATGTGACTAACAAATTGCCTGCTTTTAAATTTAGTGCTATGACTTTTCTGTTATTAAATGACAACGTAATGAATAGATGTTTTTAAATAAAACTCATTTTGACTCTGTACTTACCATGTCTACTAATGCAGACTTGTTCTAATCACTATATGGCTGGCTGGAATAATGCCGATGTGACGTAAAGCCCAACTCAACTCAACTCAACTCAACTCAACCATTAAAAATTACTGTGGTGCGGTTAAAGGCCGGAGTTCCAACCTGAGATTAATTTGGCATTGATTCAATGCTGCTGACACAAAACGGAAAATTCACAAACTGCAGAAAAACAAACAGGAAGACACAGTCAAACAAAGCAAAAATAATACAGCAATATCTACAGACATATACTAAAAGAGATTACTGGTAAATATTGTAGATTTTGTTGTGGTCACAAAAGACAAGCGTATTCCTGTCACAGTCAGGCTGGTAAGCACACTGCTGGAGAGACCACATCCTGGCAATTCCAGAACACTGATTGTTTTGACTGTAGACCTAAGAACAACGGAGTTACGGCCTGTTAAAGAGGGAACTATTTTTGTGGGCACTTGAAAACCAGGAAGCGGCGATTGTGGTTAGATTTTACAGTCGCTTCCTTGTGAGATGAGATAACTAACTGAAGGAAGCGACAGTAAAATCTAACAACAATCACCGCTTCCTTCAGCTAGTTTTCACAACTGACAAAATGCGAAAATCCTAATGTCCCTCCCTGTTTGTGGCGTAATTGTGGCGTAACTATTGACTTTTTACATAATAATAATGTGAAGCAAAATGTTCCACATTTCATTATCTACAGTTTGGTGTCTTCAAAAAGGGAATCCATTGTGTTTTGCAGAGCTGTGACCCCTATAAAAATGCGTTTTGCCAAAAATTGACCAACTTCCAGGGACAATAACTCCTACACTATTCAAGATATCAACATGCCTTGAGCACGCTAAGTAGTCCGGATTGTGGGCTTTAAAACGATATATAGAACACCATTGTACTATTTGCCGTTCAGGAGCAGAAGATTGTTAAACACAGGCACCGTAAAACAAGTGCGGAAATGTGCAAAATCGCGAAGGCTGTGTTTGTGTCGTAATGGTGACGTTATTATTGATTTTACATAACCATGATGTGAAGCAAATATGTTTCCCATTCAATTACCTACAGGTTGGTGGAATCCATAGATTTTTCGCAGAGGTGGACCTTTTTCTTAACCCTATGAAAATGCGTCTTAAAAAATTCACTGACTTCATAAGTGATAACTCTTAAACTATTCAAGATATCCATATGCCTTGAAGGGTTTAAGTAGTCCGGAGTGTGGGTTTTAAAATGATATATCGAACGCGATTGTACTATAAGCCGTTCTGAGAAGATTTTAAAGACAGGCACAGTCAAAACGAGGAAATCGGCAAAAATTTCAGTTTTTTCAAAATTGCAGAAAGTTTATTCTGCCGCAAAACTTCCGCTATGATGGGGATGTCTACAATGAGTGAAAATGTGGTCAATTTATCTCTTATACATTTTGAGTTATTCGGGTGTAAAGATTTCGACATTTTGGGTTGTATGCCCTTACCGGAAGCCGGAAGTCTGGATTTTTCGACTATGTATCAATTTCAGCACACATGCTATCATCCCTGAAGGTTTCACAAACATCGACTCAGCGGTTAGTTCAGGAGAGCTGTCACAAAATTTGTACAAATAATAATAATAATAAGAAGAAGAAGAATATTCGATAATAACAGTAGGTTCTTCAAGACTTTCGTCTGAAGACCTAATAATAATAATGGCACTTATATTGCGCTATATCCACGCCATCAAGGTATGCTCAAAGCGCATTGCCTCAAACGATGGAAACAGAGGCAGCTTGAGTTCTCCACAGTGGTATGAGTTATGTATGTTTTAGGTATAGTGCTTGAAAAGGTAGGATTTAAGGCTGGATTTAAAAGTTTCAAGAGATGGAATCAACTTCAGTGATTCGGGTAGAAAGTTCCACAGAGTAGCAGCGGCTGAGACAGAAAAGGATCTGGAGCCGAAAGTTTTAAGTTTGGTGACAGGCACCCGAAGGAGCTGTTGTTGACTAGGAGCATAGAGTTCTTGAAGGGAGGTATGAGACAGTCAGATCACTCAGATAGGCAGGTCCAGTACCATGGACAGCTTGGTAAGTGAGTGATAGTATTTTGAAAATGATTCGCTCAGGGAATGCGAAGCCAGTGAAGCGAGTTTAGCACTGGTGTGATGTGTGCCTTTATGTTCGTCCGAGTGACCAATCTGGCAGCATAGGTTTGGATGTGCTGCAGACGTCTGATTTGTTGTTTGGTGATTCCATAGAGCAAACTGTTGCAGTAGTCTAATCGAGAGAATATCAAAGATCTTACGAGGGAGGGAGCTGCGTCTCTCGTCAGCAAATGTCTGATGGCACTGATGTTCCTCGAAAAAAAGGTAATGACTGACGTCGCAGCAGCAGCTCCAAGCATGATCTTCCATGGATAGCGAGGAGTCTAGGTACACACCGAGGTTTGTAACAGATGACTTGAAGGTGACATGTCAGCTGACCAGATAGACAGATGATCCAAAGTACATTTCCTGCAACCTGGATGGAGGTCCAAACAAAATCACCTGCCTTTTGTCTGAATTGAGTTTCAGCTTGTTCTTTCCCATCCATAAACATACCTAGCAATGCACTGTTGCATGTATGTTTTGTTTCAGATTGACTGATGATGGGTGTTGGCTTACAGTTGTTCTGTACTTTATCATTCAATGCATAGAAGTGATGATGTATATGATGTTCTTCAATACACTGACTCAGAGGGGTTGTATAAAGGGTAAAGGAAGACATGTTCTCTGTGTTACGTCACGACAAGTATTACGATGAATATCCGACAGGATATATTCACCTTTTGTTTATAGAACTGTGGAGGATTGAAAAGACGGTTAAATAAACCCTGTGGTAAGAGACTTTTATTTCATTCCTTTGATATTTTTTGTATGGTGGAAACGTGGGCAGAGGAGAGTGACGTATTTACCTTTTAGGGGATAAGAACAGTTTCACCAGGCGGGAGGAAAAAAGACGACTGCTATACGTAATTCTGGTAGACTTTCAGTACTATTGAAGTCAAGATTATCTCCATTTGTGACTGTATTGAACAGTACTGGTTCTGTGAATATCATGTTACTCAACGCCACACATGTGTGTAATCTTTGGACTGGTGTACTTTTCACCCAGTGGATCCACCGATTACGCTCGGGAACCGGTTTTGATAAGCTTGAGGACGATATGAGGAAGTTCCGAACCATGTTTACAGACTGTCTCATCATCATACAGGGGATTTCAACGCCCAAACTGCTCCCCTGCCTGATTATATACTGAACGACGACCCGACACACCTGCCTATAAAGGATGATCTTGGATACATTAGCGACGACAACATTGCCCAGCGCATGTCTCAGGATCATGTGGATCACAAACGTGGTTATGAACTTCTGCAAAGGAATGGAATACGGATATGTAACGGTCGGTTGTTAAATGATCATGATGGTAAGAAAACATGTTTCGCCAATGACGGACAAAGTACCGTTGATTACGTCCTGTGTTCCGATAACGCTCTCTGCTTATTTAGTAGTTTCCAAGTGCGGGATGAAATAGAATCCACACATATGCCTGTATCGTACTCTTTGACAATATTTGAGTCATCAGCATCTGATACCTTGTCACACGTTATAAACCCCAGAGTAAGATACGCCTGGAACAGCGAGCGTGCCAGTGAGTACACAAACTATTGGACCAGCTTTATGGACAACCTTGACAAAGATATATCATATGAAGAGATGCTTAATGCTGTTTCAGATATGCAATGCGGGAGAAAGATTCTAATACTTTTGTTGAGTACCATCCGGGATTCGGGATTCCAATCCACACCCTCAGAGTCAGGCACCTAATCGTCAGCACACAAAGTCAGCCGGCTAACCCGCTCCCCAAAATGAAGTCGGACAACTCGTAGTCTTTGTGTACCCCTCTGATAAGTGTAAATGTTCCCAACAAAAAAATATTAGAATCTGTCCTTTATTAAGAAAGTGTAATCCCAAATATAACATATGTTACAGTGGTAAAGTTTCCCTAACAGGCTGAGTATCAACCGTAAGAATGATTTCCACACAATTGCTGGTTTTCTTGTAACTTGAGATGTAAAGTGAGATGTGTCGCAATCTCCAACTGTCAACTGTCAGAATATGGCAGATAGTCCATAGGATTGTATCACCCTGTAGTACCTTCATACCTTGGGTATGAACAACACTGAGACATACAGGATACTAAACCACCTTCCGTGTAATACCATTTGAAGTTGAAATGAGTTAATGGTTTAGAATCAAACGAGCGAAAGCGAGTGTGATACTCAAATCTTTCACGCTTAGAATAAAAATATAATGGTATTTCACAGAGGAGAGTTTAGTATTCTGGGCCCCTATTCTCGAAAGCGATCCTACCCTAGGATAACTGAACTTTGATCCTAGGGTCTAGGATAGGTGTCCTATATTATTCTCGAAAAGTATCATAGCGCTAGGATATCCTAACTTATGACAGATACTAGGATAGGTTCTGACTTGTCCTAAGTCTATCTTAGTGAAAATCAACGTTGTGTGTGGTATTTGTTTGTTCACCAATTTTGACGTTGTCAAACAAATAACTCGCCTAAATAAACATATATAAACACGTAACAATATGTTTTTTCTGGAAGTATGGTAATTTGAACAAATAGATATTAAAAAATATTAGATGTTTTAAATCTATTCGAGTACGAGTTTACTCTAGTTTTCTGCATACAAAATATGAGTTTTACTTATAGCTATAATTAAATACAATTTCTTCTAGATCTAGTAAGCCCATCAAAAGCTGAATTTCACAGATTTTAAGATTTTTACTTTGGTTTCTTCATTCCCCTATATGCTTTAAAACGGTGTAAGAATCCACACCGAAACGTCGCCATTGTTAAAATAAAGAAGTTGATCATCCATAAAGTCTTGTCATCCCTATACCACCAACTTCTAGAATGCCACTCAAACAAATCATTGAAGTATATGTCTGAAAGGGTATGTTATCTGTGGTATGACAAAACTTGAAATGTGGATCACCTTCAACATATTTCAGATCTGACTGTTCAAGGTGAAGAGGAATGTGAGCCTGGACAATATGGGGATGGTTGTAGTCAAAATTGTTCTCAAAACTGTTATCCTCTTCCAAATGGCATAGTGAAATGTCACAAAGAAACCGGAGAATGCTTCGAAGGATGCAAAGCGGGTGTGTACGGTGACCAGTGTGATGAACCGTGCAGCAAAACTTGCCTAGGAAACATCTGTAATCAGCACAATGGACATTGTACACTGGGCTGTATAGAAAATCACATCGGCGTCTTCTGTGAGATTTACAATGGGATTACCATCGTCCATCAAGGTTAAATAAGTTTAAAACATTAATTCAAACGAAAGGAAGCTGAACATGTAATGTGAACGATGACAAATTTGAAATTCTCTTTCCAATATTACCTTGATACATTAATTTAAAAGCTGTATTATATTTTAATAGATGTACAATGTTCAGAGTGTCATTTGTAGAATGTTACCAAGATGTGTGGAACTGCTTAACCGCTATCGTCCCTTCTGTTTGTTATTCAACGTTGAGGACTTTGTATGTACAAGTTCTCATTAATGTGTTTATATATCATTATGCAGGTAATTACCTCTAGCAGTGCAGGTACTACCTCTAGCAGTGCAGGTACTACCTCTAGCAGTGCAGGTACTACCTCTAGCAGTGCAGGTACTACCTATAGCAGTCACACAACCGTTACCACAGGTGTGGCACCGACAAGCAGTTCCCAGGTCATCATTCCAGTTGTTGTAACAGTACTTGTCCTTATCCTTATCCTTGTGGGCGCAGTGGTTATCTTCATATGGTAAGTTCTAACAAACTCTTTGTTTTGTTCATTTGCTGTTTATCGCCAGTTGACAATATGCCAGTTTTATGATAGTAGCCTGTGATTAATTCACCTTCTGATAGGTAGAGGATACCAAACGCCCTTCCGTGTAATACCATATTTATTATACGAGTTTAATTAAAATTGTATTTCATGTAAGCAATTTTAGTATTCTGTCTATTACTCCCAAACATAAATTGATAGAATCTGCCTACAGTGGGATGGCTTTCAGCAAGGTTCAATACCACTGTGATAGAGGTAATAGAAGTGTGACGTCATTACTATGATGTGATACGTCTAGCGGTATTACATTAGTGTAATATTGCCGTAGAAATAGTACATCACGTTATCTTCCACTGGCGAGTAATAATAATTGACAGTCAACCAGACAATCCATATCATGGACATCGATCCACACAACAGGCACAGAGTGACAGCATCAGCCATATTAACCAACCGATCCTATTAATCGGGACAAAATACAGACTTGAACTGAAAATCCCGCTTCATTTAACAATCATTGTGATGTGCCTCTCTGGTCAAGGATAAGAGTGACCTGTGTGCCTTGATGGGAGTATCCTTTGGCTGTTATCGTCAGGTTCAGGGTCACCACTTGTGACAGTTGATATGAAAATGAATTAGTAATTGGGAAATATCCAGAACACTCGGTTTTCATTAAACATGATTTATGAAGAAGGAAATACACAATGTGGAGTAACCTCCGATAGATCAGTGCGACAGTGAATAAACCGTGACCACAATAAACTAAACACATCATGAGTGAAACATGTTGAAACCCAGGTCATCGCCACAGTCTCTGTCCTTTTCGGCTCTGCCCTTACTGTATTTATCGTAAAAAGATCAATGAATTCATGAAATCTCAAAGAATAGCTTGGCTTCGTATTGCTTGCCTATCTTTTAACATCATACTCAGAAGAATTCCAGCTATATGACAGTGGCCTGAAATAATCGTCCTTTATTCATTGAAATGACAAATCTGTGTCGAGCTACGTCATATGAAAATAACTCAATAATATGGACCAGACAATCCAGTGTTCAACATCGTGAACATAGATCTACACAGTTGGGATACGATGACATGTGTCAAGGCAATTCAGCGAGCCTGACCACCCGATCCCGCCATTGGATACTGGAGACCAACCTAGCACGGATCTCCATGGGTCTACAAAATCAGAAGTGGGCTATATTATTGTAAATGTTTTATACCAGAACGATGCATCATTTGTTTGCCACAGTACGTGTACTGTGGTTTCTTCCAAAAGTTGGGGGCGGTGGGGTAGCCCAGTGGTTAAAGCGTTGGCTCGTCACGCCGAAGACCTGGGTTCGATTCCCCACATGGGCACAATGTGTTAAGCCCATTTCTGGTGTCCCCGCCGTGATATTGCTGGAATATTGCTAAAAGCGGCGTAAAACTAAACTCAGTCAGACAGTCAGTCCAAAAGTTGACCACTTGAAGCCACATGCTTATCCATGTGTCTTAATACGTTTGTACCTTTCTTTAGTAAAGGTGACAAATATTATCTGAAAAAGTCGATCGATCGTCCATAATGATGAAAAGTATTTTTATATATTATTCTTACAAGAAAGGCATATGCTGCAATATGAATGTACATATACTATTGTGTTCCACAAACAACTGACCATAAAATCCCCAATTCGTCCAAGCAATGACACTTCATCAACAGCTGATTTGCTATGACAGACCTTTTGGTTCGGAATAGATCATCATGGCTGTTCGAACAGCCGGACACGTTTCTAAGTTTAATGCCTTACATGTAAAAAAGGAGAGTTAGACAGTATTTTATTAAAGATTATTTTGGTACACATGCAAAAATGTTATGCGGTTCAGTCTCAACATCGGACACCAAACATGATTCAAGTAACATGGTTTTAAGAGGATGGCAAGCTACCCTGTTACAAATAATGCAGTCGAAGCTGATGCAGTAATGCAATTTACCCGTTTTCAATGCTGAACTAGTTCACAGAACCCCATGCATGTCAGTCATCTTGAGGCTCATGGGTGTTGGTGAAGGAGCGTCCTTGAGGTGTTTACATTTACCAATATTAATCTCATGGATAACTGTTGCTCTTGTTTTTCGTTTCTATTTTAGGCGCAGAAAGAAGGAGAAGAAGAAGAAGAAAAATTTAAGTAGGTAAATATATTCTGTACTCATTTCACAGAGTTGACAGTTCCAATAAGTACTTCAAGTATACAGTGGACAATCCTGTGAATCTGTCATCGCGGTGTGTCTGTACGTCTCCCAATAGAAATCTGTTGGATTTCCATGCTAGATTCGGTGACATATTATTATCATAACATGCCACTGAAACTGATCATTTCATCAGGTTCGGCGACTTACTGAGTTGCCTTCTTTGGTATATTTATGTGTGTTTGGTATGTTCTTGTATCACCGGCCTATTGTGTGTTATGTGTTGCCTGACTTTCGATACAAAACCCACACATTTGCTTTAACAGATGCATACATACCCACTAAACATCATAGCCCGGAAATCCTGTCCTTGACAATAAATATTGAAAAGCCCCAATTTTGTGGTTGCATTTAGATCGGTTTATACTTCAGAGCAGTCATGACACATCAACATAGAATCGATAAACGGAATCAATATATCTCATTTTCCTTCTGGTCTTCAGATGGAGATGATGCCGAAGCTTGGCAGAGTTGTCTCGGAGGTATGATACACGGTGACACTTTGACAAATACAGTACAACCAGAAATTATTGAGAATTTAAAGATTGTATTTTTTCTTTTTCCTCATTACTCGCGTCTTAAATGTGAATATTAGCAGGACATAACTCCAGATTCAAAGACACGTGAACAGTTAGTATTTTGTCAAGTCACCATGGGGCAGCAATGCAGGCTTCAATGCGGCGGGGCATACTACTGATCAAAGAAGTTAGAAAGTCGTGGTCCTTGCTTGTCCCAATATCGGACCATCTCTTCTTTCATTTCAGCAATATTTGTCAGATGTTTCTTATTGACACTTTCCTTCATAAGTCCCCAAACATTTTGTATTAAATTTAGGTCAGGGCTATAGCTTGGCCAATGTAATAATGTCATATTTTGGGTCTGAAACCAGGCCTGTGAATGCTTAGAACGATGTTTTGGGTCGTTGTCCTGCTGGAAAATCCAAAACTTTCCATAGATCACGTGAGCAGATGGAAGTAAATGTACCTCCAGAATATCTGTGTACCGCTCACTGTTCATATTCCCTTCAAATACACAGAGGGCGTTGCCCTAACACAGATATACCACCCACACGTTAAATTTCGGACTGTACTTTGGGGCGCTGATACAAAGGTTTTCAGTTTGTTTGGTCCAGAATTTCAGTGTATTAGGAAACAGACACACGGAACTTTCATCTGAGAAAAACACATTGTCCCAATTAAAATTTCTATGCTGTAAGCACCAGTTCAACCTTCGCTCCTTTTGTTCAGGGTTTCATGATTGGTGATAGAATTCCTCGACTTTTCTGCCAACCCATTGCATGCAGCTCAGTTATAATTGTCTCCTTACAGACAGACACACTTCCTCTATCAATCATATCCAGCCTTAAGTTTTCTAAACTCCTTCGTTTGTTTTAGAAACAAGAATACCAAGCCGCCTCCTGTCACCGACACTCACTTTTCTGGGCCTACCTGCGCCTTCCTGGTGCTCAATGCCATATCCATTTGCAATATTTTTCAAAACTCAATAAACAGTGGACAAAGGGATGCCTGTTCTATTTGAAATCATTTTAGCTGATCTGATGTCCTTGTTATAATGCTCTAAAACCAACTTCCTCCTCTCTAAATCATCCATACTGAGGATCACTGAAAATGTCGTCTGCTAGCAAGTAAACAAAGGGGATAACTCTTCACAAACTAATGAAAAGGGATTAACGGAGTTGTCTCTCTTGAATAAAACCAATCACTTGATAGGTGGTCAAGGTTGTTTATACTGGAAATCGAATTAAACATATTCCTATTATTCTCAATAATTTCTGGTCATACTATGTAATTATCTCCTTGCAAAGCTGCTCCATCCAGGTTACAACCATCGACTGTAGTGTAGCAGCAGCAGCATCCGACATTGCACATAAAACACCGTCCCTCACCATCACTAAAGCCGGAAATACTTGACCATTTAACGTGGACCGTCCTGATTCTCTGCTAGAAGTTAACTGTGTAATAATAAAATTTCACTGCCCAGGTAGTAGGGACGTTTTGTGGCCTTCTTTCATAACGGATGCCTTTGTACATCAATATCTGTGGACTGCATGTGAGAATGGTGTGAAGCAATGATGTTCTATATTATACATAACGGCTATCCCCTATATCCATGATTACACTTTAAACCTCTTTTGAAACATATTCACCACAATCACATCCAAGGTCAAAGTCAAAGTTTCCCTTACAACACTATACGTTCGCTATCCTATTTAAGACAAAACACGATACGTTCAAAAATCGACGATTACAGCTCCAGATGTGTTTGTTCATCGACCGTCACAAGATAGCTGGAATATTGCCGGAGCTAAACCAGGTGGAATATGGGGTGTGGACATATTTTACTAACGCTTCTTGTAGATTCTTGGCACTGCAACTGTAGGAGAGTTTGAAAAGTAAAATATTTGGTGCGCAAGCCAAAGAGAACACAACAATTTGTGAAGTAATCTTCTAACTATTCCCATCACACACTTGCTTACAGCAAGCTTTAGTTGATAGCTGAAATTAGCTGTGATAGTGCTAATAACACACATCCCTTCACATTTAACATGGACATAAAAGTTATATACTATCAAATTATGTGATGTATTTGACATAAATAGCCAATGCATCCACTCTATTGCTGAATACTGATTATACAGATAGACAGACAGACAGACAGGTTTATTCTCTGTCTGTCTGTCTGTCTGATTATACCTTGACACCGACACTGGTGTATCAATATCACTGCTCTTTACGTCTTCCACAAAATATGCAAAATTAACAGTTCTAGCAAATTATATTGAACAATTCGCACCAAACACCGCTCAGACATGAACGATAATTACTTCGCTCATATGAAAACTAAGAAATTCACATGAATGTTTACCTTGCACATCGCAGTGCACGAAAACTGAGAACAGTGTGTAAAACCAACACTACAACCGCATTAATTTACATTTAATGTTCACAACTTGTTGTTACTTTACCATATTACACTTATGTCTTGATATAAAATTAATAATATATACCTGACGAGTGATGTCTTTACACAAATTTGCTCATAGGCGAGTGATACTCGGTGGACCATGACGTTTGTCTCGGCTACATGAAAACTCCGCGCTCTGCATAGCGGGGAGACATCATTATATAGTTTTGCAAGGGAGAAGTCAAAGCTATAATAAACCATTAAAGTTCAAACTTCTGGTTCAAATAAGATTATCATTAACTATATAATAAGTATTTGAATTAAATTCTCAACAGCCTTTTGTAGTTATATGATGTGCCACGTACATATAAAAATCACTAAACAATTTGGATTGAGTGAATTCGGTTTTACAACGATTTTAGCAATATTTCAGCACTATCACATTAGAAAAAAAGATGAGTTATGCTTGTATCAAGTATTCAGAACATCGCCAATGTACATGTATATCAGGAGGTTCAGGTGTTTCAAACTGGCGCTGAGACTGCTGTGACTCCATTGAGTAATGTTGTTCTGATACTGTATACATTTCCTATTGAATTTTAATAAGACTATATTAAATTCTCAACAACATTATATACTCTTAAAAAAGTAGGGGAACTTCATTTCTAATTTACGGCTGAAACAAATGGGAGATGTACCGGAGTCAATCAATGTTGATATGATAATAATGAATGGCCCATAGTTTTTCTAGAGTAATCGCTCTTGAAGATGATAGGTGTATCATGTGAAATTTGCATGTGTACGATTTTCATTTTGTCAACAAAACTCAGAAAGAAACACTAACTGCGTGCTGCAAGATGATTATAATTAGGTCAACAGTGAGTTATCGATCTTCTGGAAAAGCGTCAGCCACCAAACGTCGTGAGTGAGTGAGTATTGTTTTATGTCGCTTTTAGCAATAATTTAGCAATATCACGGCAGGGCATACAAGAAGTAGGATTAACACATTAAATCCAGTAATGGTAACGCTGTTGCTTGTGCCACTGTCATTGGATCCCGAACAATAGATTCTAGATTACCAGATAACAGCTTATTTGCACGGCAAAGACAACCCCCTATTACCAGATCTTAAATATATTTATAAACACCCCCAGCCTACTACGAAATGTTCCTCCTTTTGTTACCCAGCCATGTTGGAGATGGAGATTTGGCTGCTGAAGCATCACTCGTTAAATATGTGGCACCACTTCTCTTCCCATACTCCGGCTTTATACCTGCGATTAGATCTTACATCTGTGATCTAATGATGAATAAGTGGGACGCCCAAGTAGGTATACATAAATTCAATCAAACAAAACCATCTATACTTACTTGGGTTGTCAGTCATTTGAAGAGGTCGTTATGTGACGATTTCGCATTGGTCATACAAGACATGCTCATGAATATCTAGTATTTAAATGCGAGGGTCCTCCGGTTTGTACCCCCTGTGATGATAGCAGCACGGTCAGGCATGCCTGCCCGATTGTATTGATTATTTTCATCACAAGGAATAACTATTTCATGGTTTCAACATTCAAGGATCTTTTTAATATTCATTCAAATTTAATCATTGCCTTTTCATAAGAAATAGAGTTATTAGATAAATTTTGATTAATGCTGCTTAATTAGATAAATGTTTTATAATTAGTAGTTTAAGTTATCAGCTCAGATTGTAAAGAGCACTCTCAACAAAGGGGGTAAAGGTATTGTAAACTTATTGCCCTCCTGATTAGAGGTTACATAAATTTATAAAATCAGATTTATCAAACAGATAAAAACAGAAGTAGTGCCCTTTGCTATCTGCGGGGTTTTGGCATTGGTAAAATATCCATGGAAACGATTTTTACTTTGTCTCAAATAGGTGGGGATCAGATTTGGTTTGCGGACAACTCCAAAACCATGTCTTAACCAAGGGTTGAATTGGTGCCTTTTGCTATTCAGGAATTTTAAGAAAATGTTGTTTTTTTATGTTTCCGTGACAACAGGTTTGACTTTGACCCTGTTAATACTGGTGTGTTTCACTGGACCACATCTTTTTAAGTTCATTCATGAAACTCTGTAGACACAAACACCAGGTTTGCCATGAAGATAGCAAAGGTGCTGTAAGTCCCCATGGTCAGTTGCTTGTGATCTCTATCACGTTTTTATATATTGTATTGTTCATAAAATTTGTTTAAGTTTACAGATACATGCTAGTTTTAATTCTCTATCTGAGATAATATACAGTGATACCTGTCTAAACCGGCACCCCATAGGACCGAAATAAAATGCCGGTTTAGACAGGGTGCCGGATGTAGTTATTTTACTGTCCCTCGTCAACAGTTTTTTTAATAATTTGATTGCATTTATTATGAGTTGAAAATTGTTCAAGTCATATTGCCGATGTGATTATAAATCGTAACTCACTCACTCACTCACTCACTATTACGTATTGTGTGATTTTTACCCTGGTCGAAGTGGTGTGTTTGTCAGCACCATCTTGAAAGTGTACGTGTTTCATGGATCTATGCAAAAAAACAAAACCCTAGGTGTCAACTGCCGCCTTTAGCTATTAGGGACTTTTCAGATTTGTACTTTTTCTCTGACTGATATTGATCTGTACCTGACATAGAAGTACAAAGTTACGGATTCTAATTCCATTCCATGTTATTGTTTTGACTCCTGTATACGGATGAACAGATTAGACAGTAAATTTCTCATCAATAATAAGGGTTAATACATATTATTACGGTACAGAAATTACTGAGATAAAAAGGCTTGTGAGTATCCATTAAACCAGCAAACTGGAATCCCACGGTCTTCCGCCGTAAGCAAACCAAAGGGAAGTAACTCTAATTTACTCCTAACAGGTAAAATTACATAGCCTAAGTTTAGATGTGAGTTCCAATCCAATCTTCAAACATTTGAGTCCCATAATAACTAAAAGTTAAATAATGTGACACAATTAACCAAATTACATGCTCATAATATCGAACACATTGCAAATTAGATGACATGATTGGTTCTATAATTTAGGGTGTATGAGCATTGGGAACATATTATTTCATGCACTAACGTACATTGGCGTTATAGTAGCGTTTGAACCATTCAATAATGGTGAAAACCATTAGCCTACATCCCTTTTAACTTTAAAACTTCCAATTTTATATTTTTATGTTTTCAATGGTGAATTTGTGTATGCACCCATCACTTTTTCACTTTCAAGCCAGATTACCCTCAGATAAAGCCATAAGCTTTACAATTTTATATCAATAAAATAATTTTGAAACATATTTTGGGGCTATTACTGTAGAATTTTGTTCGACAAATTAAGGGGGCATATAAGTAGGTAGACGTGGTGCTTAACGCATACATCCAAATTTTACCTCTGACCATGGTTCTGAATTTTCTGAACATGCATTAACTGACTTTGTAAAATACAATGTTCTCCTAAACATTCTGAACTAATGAATCTGAGGTTCACGTTGGGTTTCCACTATTAATATCACCTGAATCTGTTTAAGAGGTACAAAACCAAGCTCAAAGGTTTTCATGGCGACCGATGCGCAGCAGTTCCGGCTCAAATGGAACTTAATGCTCTTAAACTATCTCTAATGAACATTTGGCTCTGTTATCTACATGTAGATGGTAATGTGTCTTCTGGTCACGTCAAAGAAACATTAAACGTGTTACTGTAACCCTGCCTGATGTTCAGCATTATGGGTGTAAGGTGTCCGAGTTTGGTATCCATTTTGATGAGTGGGCATAGCCTGACAATGATAACCAGCCATACCTGGGCTTATATGTAGCCACCTACATGGAATATTAACATAATACATTATTACATTATCAGCCATAGCTGTTGCTTTGATAATGAACAGATTTTGTGAATCATGGCAAATTCTACTGCTAATATTTCCGTACAGAGTAGTATATATATTGTATGTATATATCATTTAATCTTTTCGTTTTAGGTTCTCCTCGAGATGGTCAGGATACACAGGTACCCGTAACACATTCGATTATCAGGATCTTGGCCAGCAACCAACCTGGGCACGTTTCTGTCTTTAACAAATAGCACACGCATCCATCTCGATATAATTGAGTTTCTTTTATGTGATTACGCATTCGGAACGTGTTTGTAAATATATACAATTTGGAACGTTCATTGTTTGAAAACATGTCCATGAAATGCAGAAACGTGCATTTAACGAAATCTGTATGTGTATTGTAGGATCTCTCCCGCATGGAAGCTACGTTGATGAAAAAAATACAAGAGATGCAAGGTACGTCGTATTGTTGGAAGGTTGAATAAAAGCGAGAAAGCCTTTTCCATGTCCATGAGAAATAGCTGCCAAAAGTAAAGTCTATTTATTGACATATCACGTGTTTATGAATTACAAAGTGATGCCAGGTGTTTGCCATAAATCAGGGAAAAGTCCCACCCTTCATAAACAGATCAAATTACAAGTCAACTGTTCTCCTGAAAAAATATCCGCAAATGTATGTTACACGTCGAAATAAGAATCAGATGTGTTGAAAGCTATTAACATGGTCCAAAACACAAACACTTGCACTGTGATTAGCGGCCTCCATAAAAGGCCATCCGACAGGACCTCATTTGAAAAAAGTATATAGCTACAATTTGTAATAGTTGAAAAAACCGTGATGAAACTGATGATGGAATCTATGAGTACTGGGCCATTAAGCTGAATGTAGTTTGCCAGAAATAGGCTTTGAGGTTTGAATATAGTATATAGATAAATACTTTTAACTGCTATTAAGCAGCATTGATTCTCCCACGTTCCTCGGTTTGCTTCAGGCATGGTGATGTCATCGCGGAGGCCTGGTGATCCTCAACCCTCGGACAGCAGTGTATTCTGTGAGTACAAGCTGTGATCAGGAACAGTTGTTCAATAATATTTGTGTGTCTGGAGCAAATTATTCAGACAGAGCATTGTAATTGGTTAATGGAGCTTCTAATCATAATACGCATCCGTATTCTTAGTTATGAATTTGATTTAGCCATGGATATTTACATAAATGTGTATGCGATGCTGCTCACAACAATATATATACTTTCAACACATTCACATATTGGTTGCTTGTAGGTGGATTACATCTTTAGCTTAGGAATCTTCACAGAAACAAACACCACAAAGACACAAAGTAGTGCACTATGTAGCCAGTACATGCTGTGACGAGTGTCCGGCAGATATATATTAATGACGTGAAATTAGCACAAGTATACATTGATGCAGTGGGTCAGCCGTCCCCACCTAACAATCTCAGATACTAAATAGGGGAGGCAAAAGTAATGTAACCATGAGTTGGTTAAAGATTTATGTGGTGGATATTAAGAAATATATTGATGGTAATGTGAAAATACAAAACTAAATCTTGACATCAAGTGGTAACAACTGTGATAGTGTCATTAAAATGTTTGCAATTACTGAGATTTTCATTGTTAAATATTAACAGTACCTTGACCTCGCTTATGACACTTCGAAGCCTACTGTGGCATGTTTCCCGATTTTCCGCTTACAGTATTTTTCTGCGTTTTTTAAGTCAGTTCCTAATTAAGGAGGGATGCTTGAAATAAGATGCGACTTATATCAATGCAAAGGTATTACACGATAACGCTATGAGGGTACAGGCGAGCTGATAACAGAATCAGTAAATGCCCAATACTTTATTCAATATACGTTCATACACAAGATGGGGCGGTAGGGTAACGTAGAGGTTAAAGCGTTCGTTCGTCACGCCGAAGACCCGGGTTCGATTCCCCACATGGGTACAATATGTGAAGCCCATGTGCACAGGTCAGTGACCTTGCACAACGTGGCGTAATGTCCCTATGCATAAAACCGGACTCACGAGACCAAGCAGGGAGACCATACAGGAGACCAGTCAGGAGACCAGTCAGTGACGAGGCGAGGAAAAGGGCCCAGATCATCCACCGAAGCGGACGGACTGTGCGGCTAGTCGGGGCGTCGGTCAACGCCGTCGCCTCACCAACGACTACGTCGACGATGAATAATCGCCGTCCGACTTCTGAATGTGTGTAAGTGACAGAGCGGGTCTCCACATCGGGAACATTGGCCCACTCTGTCCCGATGTGCGTTCTGTTACGTGATTTCCATCTTATGTACCATTTCGACCATTATTCCCAAACCATAATAAACATGGCTGCTGCTGTCTTCATCTATACCTTGTCTTCCGCCTCTTGAACTACCGTCCGAGAGTACCACAACGAACGCTCTTGGACAGATGGTGGAGAAATATCCGGGTAGCGTGAGTTTGCTGTGACTCACGCACGATTCCCTACCCAAACTCGCAGCAAAGCAACCGGTAGTTCAGAGATGGTGATAGACAAGAGCAGCGTCAACGCCGGCCGCCATCTTGGCGGAAGAACGGAGAAGACAACAGACAGCTCATCCGACCCGACGATCAACGAGACAGCAGCCCATAGCCAGCAAACTTCACAAAATCATCGACAACAACCAAACCCAGCAAAGTCCATATAATTGTGAGTAAAACCATCAACGCCACCCTTCAAGATCATGTCAACAAGCCTCAAGATTCTTCTGCAAGTGCTTCACATTATGTGTGTGTGACAATGTATGTGAACGTTTTTGAACTCTCTCAACGTTTTTGTGTTTATACGTTTTCTCTCGGCATTCTTGTTCATGCCAGGTATGTGGAATCCTCTCCAGTCATTGTTTCACGTGCGTTTATATTTGTCGTATTTTTCATCTATTGAGTATATATTGCAATCTGTATGTGATGTTATGAGACGTACATCTTTATTAGATTAAGTTTTTGAAATCGGTTAGGCTCTTACTCTACTACATATACTACGCCCTACGCATATACGCATTTAATGCAGATCAACGCTATCTGCGGGTTCCGAGTCGTCCCATTCAAATCAGACTCCCGGTTTCAAGGATTTTTCTAATAATTTGTTCCTCTATAACGATTGTTATAGACAATAGCTTATTACGAGTTATGCAAAACCATATTTACTCTTTGTGAAAAACGGCTAAATCTTTTCATGTGGTAATAGTAGTCGTAGAAGTATAATAAGTTATGGCTTGCCAAGCTTATTTAGTGGAGACTGATTATCCAGTCTATATCCTACTTCTTCGTTTTGCAAACGTGTTTTTGTGCTTATTTATGATACCGGTGAAAGTTTAGCCCTTGTGCATAATACTTTTATGGTCTCTGGCACACAATATACAATTCGCTAAAATATCTTCGAGCCAATTTCACTTGAATTAATTTTTCATTAACTTTCGGTTAGACTTTTGAAGTTGGTTAGGTTTCGTTTTTTTTCTCATGCCAATTCTACTTTTATTGCAGATCACATCTACATCTGCTAGCCTTGCCGAGTCTAGGCTCACCAATATAAGACTCCCAATTTCAAAGATCTTACTGTTGTCATGAAAATATTACATTCATATGCAAACGACGACGTATTACGCACATTATGTTTTTGTGTGTACTTATCAGTCAGGTATTCCGACTGTGTGGAAACGACCAATATTATGTTTGTTTTGTACGAGCTGGACAGCCGCTCACCTGTATTTTTGTACGAGCTGGAATCTCCGCTCACTTGTGTTTTGTGTATACACCTGACCAATGTTGACAATTCGATTTATGTATTACCTTGACGTTCCTGTATAACTAATCTAATGCCATTACGATCATTTGACTTATGATCAATGCCTGTACCAAATATTTGTCAACCCGTCAATGTCCCATGTATTTTACTGTATACTTGTACATCCAATATTGTCACTATTTTCCGAAAAAACGCATTTGAAGACAAAAGCTCCACGACGTTCAGGGGTGTTGTCATAGAGTAAACCATTTCAATAAGTTTCTGTAAAACTTCATATATTCAAACAACATAATTGTTTCCATATATATCCAAAGTGCACCGAAATTCTATCCCCTTTGTCTGTTTAATGTATTCAGCAATCATTCGGTGTAGCCCTTTTATCATAAACCCCCCTCAGGGCAGGACCCTTAATTCTCAATGCCATCAGTAAATGTCAATTAACATCTCCCCACGTCGGCGGATCTTATGTATGTACATGTGCACAGGTCAGTGACCTTGCACAACGTGGCGTAATGTCCCTATGCATAAAACCGGACTCACATGGTCAAGCAGGGAGACCAGTCAGGAGACCAGTCAGGAGACCAGTCAGTGACGAGGCGAGGAAACTGGCCCAGATCATCCACCGAAGCGGACGGACTGTGCGGCTAGTCGGGGCGTCGGCCAAGGCCGTCGCCTCACCAACGACTACGTCGACGATGAAGAATCGCCGTCCGACTTCTGAATGTGTGTAAGTGACAGAGCGGGTCTCCACATCGGGAACATTGGCCACTCGGTCCCGATGTGCGTTCTGTCACGTGATTTCCATCTTATGTACCATTTCGACCATTATTCCCCAACCATAATAAACATGGCTGCTGCTGTCTTCAACTATACTGCTGACTTCCGTCTCTTGTCCACCATCCTGAACTGCCATCCGAGAGTGGCCCCAACGAACGCTCTTGGACAATTGTGCAGAATTTTCAACTGCAAGTGATGCCCATTATGATGCCACAAATCTGAAAGATCTGTTTTCCCGCGTGAGCGGGCATCTCATTGTTAACTACCTGAGGGATGTTGATCTGTATCATAAATTGTAATTATGTTATGTAAATAACGAATTGCTTGCTTTTGAATTTGGTGCTATGACATTTTCTGTTTTAAAATATTAATGCAGTGAATATAAACCCATTTGGACTTTGCACTTAAACTTTGTACATCGGCATTTTTCCAGCCATGTAGTGACGAGCTCAAGTCTGAATTAGTATGCATTCAGCCGGAGAGTAACAGTGTACTGGATACTGATACAGACTACAGAAGTATCTTACTTGTTGTGACTTCACAAGTTCAGTTGCGACAGCATGAGAGAAAGAGCGTTATGGATATAAATAAACGCTATAGAAATACAGAGTACAGGGGCGTTATGTCAACATTTCAATTTGGCTGCTGTTCATATTTAAATGGAAATGGTGTCTACCCACAGTGCATAAAAAATGTGCATCACGACTCGTCAGATACCTCTATCACGACTCGTCAGGTACCTCTATCACGACTCGTCAGATACCTCTATCACGACTCGTCAGATACCTCTATCACGACTCGTCAGGTACCTCTATCACGACTCGTCAGATACCTCTATCACGACTCGTCAGATACCTCTATCACGACTCGTCAGGTACCTCTAACGGTAGGAATTCATCATCATGATAAAGAGCATACCAATGTCATTTTTTCAGTCAAATGGCACAAGAGTTGTGTTTACCGACAGTTAAATGTGAATCACGACAAGTCAGCTACATGTATCGGTGTGTAATGCCGATTAATAGTATAACAATATCATTTTGGGCACAGACCTCAGTGAAAATGTTCTTTTTAATCACAAGACAATTGTCTCAATAGACTACATAGGAATTACTAAGGTGGGCTTTCTCGATGTTACATCATGTTATGACTACCAAAACCATAGCTTCTCCCGGCAACAGCTGGTGATGTCAAATGGGCAAATAGAATTACCTCCATTAACAATATCCTACTCACAACCAAAACATATGTTCAAACATTTTTGTTCACCTGGTGATTGTTTACATATGTTGATTAAATTGTTGCCATTCGATAGATAAGCAACGGAAAATTAAACTGAAATTATGTGATTGTAGGTAAGATGGTTCATCACAAATGTGCAGAATTTGACTTGAATCATACGAAAATTATATTCATGAAAATTATTTATGCTACACTAAATTAACATGTAAGTGTATGGAAGTTACGTCCAGTGTCCGGAATATAACTGACACGGGTCTGAATAAGCGAGTGAGCGCCAAACTCAACGCGAGTGTCATGCTTCAAATAAAGCCACGTCACAATGACGTCATAGCTGGCCCCTTGGTGTGACTAGTGTCGCCAAGGCTTGATCATAGTAAACCATGTCAGTCAGTTTGAACATTCGCCCGAGTTTCAAATAAATAATAGCACTGATGGAAGCAAACACTGGGTGAACGTCACGTTGATCATGCGTATGCAGCATTTTCATTATTTGAAAATACGACAGTAATATGACAAGTGTATAAAGTCCAAGCCATTTCAGCCTCACGAACCCCTTCTGCCAGACTCGAACCCAGACACTCTAATTCCCACCAGTGAGTCATTTTGGAGATTGCAGGAACAGACTTCCATCTGAATGGGTGGAAAGAAATACCATACACATAAATCTACATATTATATTGTTATTTTCAGCACCTGTCTCGGAAACACAGATAGAGTGGGTGGGAGGCGAGAGACGCTGTTGGCATCCAACCAGGACGATAGTGGTGGGTAGTGTTACGTTTTTTATGTATATGATGTTATCTATGGTGAATTTGTTAGGAATGATTTTCTTAGTTGACCCAATGTACTTTTTAAATAACCTCTCATCAATAAATAAAATGACAATTTTATATTTTTAAAATCATTTTAAACTGAACAAAGACACAGCGACTTACTGGAATGGCGTATTATAACCACCCAAGAACCATCACTCAAGCTATATACCTGCATCATAAATAATAATTCTGAACATATGTTTAGCAACAGTACTGGTGCACTGGTGTAGTTGTTTCAGGTCAATCTCCTGCACGTCTCTGACGAGAACCACTTTGTGTTGAAGCATTTTACATGACATATTCTGTGTTGAAGTATTATACATGACATATTCTGTGTTGAAGGATTCTACATGACATATTCTGTGTTGTAGTATTCTACATGACATATTCTGTGTTGAAGTATTCTACATGACATATTCTGTGTTGAAGCATTCTACATGACATATCCCTGTGTTAAAGTATTCTACATGACATATTCTGTGTTGTAGTATTCTACATGACAAAGTCTGTGTTGAAGTATTCTACATGACATATTCTGTGTTGTAGTATTCTACATGACATATTCTTTGTTGTGGTATTCTGCATGACATATTCTGTGTTGAATTATACTACATGACATATTATGTGTTGAAGTATTCTACATGACATGTTCCGGTGTTGAAGTATTCTACATGACATATCTGGTGTTGAAGTATTCTGCATGACATATTCTGTGTTGAGAGTATCTCTACATGACATGTTCTGTGTTGAAGTATTCTACATGACATATTCTGTGTTGGAGTATTCTACATGACATATTCTGTGTTGAAGTATTCTACATGACATATTCTGTGTTGGAAGTATTCTGCACCGGACATATTCGGTGTTGAAGTATCTCTACATGACATGTTATGTGTTGAAGCATTCTGCATGATATATTCTGTGTTGTAGTATTCTACATGACATGTTCTGTGTTGTAGTATTCTACATAACATGTTATGTGTTGAAGTATTCTACATGACATATTCTGTGTTGAAGTATTCTACATGACATATTCTGTGTTGAAGTACTCTACATGACATATTCTGTGTTGAAGTATTCTACATGACATGTTTTGTGTTGAAGTATTCTACATGACATATTCGGTGTTGAAGTATTCTACATGACATATTCTGTGTTGAAGCATTCTACATGACATATTCTGTGTTGAAGTATTCTACATGACATATTCTGTGTTGAAGTATTCTACATGACATGTTCTGTGTTGAAGTATTCTACATGACATGTTCGGTGTTGAAGTATTCTACATGACATATTCTGGTGTTGAAGTATTCTACATGACATGTTCTGTGTTGAAGTATTCTACATGACATATTCTGTATTCTACATGACATATTCTGTGTTGAAGTATGCTACATGACATATTCTGTGTTGAAGTACTCTACATGACATATTCTGTGTTGAAGTATTCTACATGACATATCTGGTGTTGAAGCATTCTACATGACATATTCGGTGTTGAAGTATTCTACATGACATATTCTGTGTTGAAGTATTCTACATGACATGTTCTGTGTTGAAGTGATTCTCTACATGACATGTTCTGTGTTGAAGTATTCTACATGACATATCTGGTGTTGAAGTATTCTACATGACATATTCGGTGTTGAAGTATTCTACATGACATGTTCTGTGTTGAAGTATTCTACATGACATATTCTGTGTTGGAGTATTCTACATGACATGTTCTGTGTTGAAGTATTCTACATGACATATTCTGTGTTGAAGTATTCTACCTGACATATTCGGTGTTGAAGTATTCTACATGACATGTTATGTGTTGAAGTATTCTGCATGATATATTCTGTGTTGTAGTATTCTACATGACATGTTCTGTGTTGTAGTATTCTACATGACATATTATGTGTTGAAGTATTCTACATGACATATTCTTTGTTGAAGTATTCTACATGACATATTCTGTGTTGAAGTACTCTACATGACATATTCTGTGTTGAAGTATTCTACATGACATGTTTTGTGTTGAAGTATTCTACATGACATATTCTGTGTTGAAGTATTCTACATGACATATTCTGTGTTGAAGTACTCTACATGACATATTCTGTGTTGAAGTATTCTACATGACAATATTGATGAATCTCCACTGGCTCCCCAGTACAAGCTAGAATCGAGTTCAAAGTGTTATCCCTGACCTACAGCTGTTACCATGATGTTGCACCAGGATATCTGAAAAGAACTTCTCCAGAAATATACTTCATGCAAAACCTGGAGATCCAATGATCAACTTTTATTTACCATCCCCAGGACCAATCTCAAATCCTTCGGCCAGAGATCATTCTCATTCTGTGCTCCTTCTCTGAACTGTCTCCCTTTGATATCAAAACCTCCCCATCTTTAGCTGTCTTCAAGTCCAAACTTAAAACCCATCTCTTCTCCAAGTTCTACCCTTTGATACCTGCGCTTTGAGCAACCGCAACGGATGGAAAATAGCGCAATATAAATGCACTTATTATTATTATTATTCGGTGTTGAAGTATTCTACATGACATATTCGGTGTTGAAGCATTCTACATGACATATTCTGTGTTGCAGCCTCGAGCGAGGGGATAGCACTGATACCTGGTCTTCACAGGAGTCTGATGTACACGGTAGGTGGAGGAATATTGTGGACCAGATGTGCTAGTCGCATTGTGTATACAATAATACTATACATGATATATTGTCAGCTCATCAGATGTGTAAGAAAGCTTTTTCTGTTTCAAAAACAAACCCTTGAGTCATCTAGTGGAGAGATTTATCGTTTGTGAAATTATCACTTCATATAGAATATATTCTTTACAATGAGGTTAGTTGATATACATCTTCAGTCCTTTGTAATCTAACATCAGCGGGGATACACCTTATCAGCACAATACCCTTTGTATATAATGTCAGAATACATTCAATGCATATAATGTCAGAATACATTCAATGTATATAATGTCAGAATACATTCAATGTATATATTGTCAGAATATATTCAATGTATATAAGTTCAGAATACATACAATGTATATAATGTCTGAATACATTCCATTTATATAACGTCTGAATACATTCCATTTATATAACGTCAGAATGCATTCAATGTATATAATGGCAGAATACATTCAATGTATATAATATCAGAATACATTCCATGTATATAATGTCAGAATACATTCAATGTATATAATGTCAGAATACATTCAATGTATATAATGTCAGAATACATTCAATGTATATAATGTCAGAATACATTCAATGTATATAATGTCAGAATACATTTAATAGTTGCATCAGTGACCACACTTATAGACTAATGACCTAGTGTTTATTCTAACCCTCCTGTTTGTCTCCACAGCCACGAGCGGAGAGGGGACACACCGATGTCTGGGGACCCCTCAAGACCTGACACACGAGGTGGGTGGAGACAATGTCACGTGTGTTGTAGTGGGCAGACCACTCTCCACAAACACACGAAACTGTGCTAGAACTGTTAGATGACATTCTATTCATGTAAATGACTAATGTGTGAAAAACATCAACTAGTCCTTGTGATTCCCTGTACCCCCGCCATGTTGCTGTCAGTTCTTGTGATTCCCTGTACACCCGCCATGTTGCTGTCAGTTCTTGTGATCCCCTGTACACCCGCCATGTTGTTGTCAGTTCTTGTGATCCCCTGTACACCCACCATGTTGTTGTCAGTTCTTCTGATTCCCTGTACACCCGCCAATGGTTCTGTCAGTTCTTGTGGTCCCCAGTTCTTGTACACCCGCCATGTTGCTGTCAGTTCTTGTGGTACCCCCATGTACACCCACCATGTTGTTGTCAGTTCTTGTGATTCCCTGTACACCCGCCATGTTGTTGTCAGTTCTTGTGATTCCCTGTACACCCGCAATGTTGTTGTCAGTTCTTGTGATCCCCTGTACACCCGCCATGTTGCTGTCAGTTCTTGTGATTCCCTGTACACCCGCCATGTTGCTGTCAGTTCTTGTGATCCCCTGTACACCCGCCATGTTGTTGTCAGTTCTTGTGATCCCCTGTACACCCGCCATGTTGCTGTCAGTTCTTATGACCCCCTGTACACCCGCCATGTTGCTGTCCCCTGTAGCCATGTTGCTGTCAGTTGTATAGATGGTGTTACTAGTGTTTTGTATCATCAGTGTTAGACATGAACAATGTAGCTGTAAGATGAAGATGTCCGACCTGTGTACAGAGTTAACTTTGTGTTACAGCGACACCGACACCCGCACGGAGAGACGCCCGGACAGGCCAAGACCTCCATTCCGCCTGCAGTGAGGGGAACCTGGCGGAGGTGAAGCGGATCCTGGACACAGGTCGGGCTGACGTCAACTGTAGAAGTGTGGGCGGGATGACACCGGTGATGTGGGCAGCACTGAGGGGACACAGGGATGTGGTGGAGCTCCTTGTGAGTCGAGGTGCTGATGTGTCACTGGTGGACGATGACGGTAACAACATCCTTCACTGGGCCTGTGAGGGAGGAGACAGGAAGACAGTGGAGTTTGTCCTGTCTCTGGACGGGGTGGACATCAACAGTAGAGGATGGAAGAGCATTACACCGGTGATGGAGGCAGCATGGTGGGGACACAGGGATGTGTTGGCGATCCTAGTGATTCGAGGTGCTGATGTGTCACTGGTGGACGATATGGGTAACAACATCCTTCATTGGGCCTGTATGGGAGGAGACAGGAAGACAGTGGAGTTTGTCCTGTCTCTGGACGGGATGGACATCAACAGTAGAGGATGGAAGAGATTACACCGGTGCTGTGGGCAGCACGGTGGGGACACAGGGATGTGGTGAAGTTCCTTGTGAGTCGAGGGGCTGATGTGTCACTGGTGACTAATGGTGGTGACAACATCCTTCACTGGGCCTGTGAGGGGAGGAGAGAGCAAGACAGTGGAGTTTGTCCTGTCTCTCGGGACGCGGGTGGACATCAACGTCAGGAACAACGACGGGAAGACAGCGGCCGACATGGCGAGAGACAGGCGACATCATCAACTGTCGGATCTCCTGGTAACACATGGTACACAGTGAAGTGAATGTAGTGTTGATGTAGACAGTGATGGAGGACAGGTTGTTACTGACACTGACGTTGTGTGTGACGTTCACGTCGTCGCGTTGTTTATAATTCAGTATGAAGGTGAGAATATTTGTTGTGTTTGAGGAGAAATAAAACTTGTTGAGAACATTTTCAGACATTTTGTTGTTTATGGAACTTTACGTGATCAGGTAAGGATATTGTTGCCTGTAAATATTGATGATATATCGTTGGTATATGAACCCTGCATCTCTTCATGTAGTTCTGTTTTAATTATGTGTCATAATTTTCTCATTAATCGTGAAACAGACAACAAACTGTTTGTTTACATCTCGCTGCACTCTGTGACCTCAGACTGAGCCAAGGTTCGCCAGTTGACGTGGCGCCAAATGTACAGTGACGTCACACTGCTGATGACTTCATAGTATTACGACCACAGCCACCGCCCTTCACCTCTGCGAGGTTGTTGTGACGTTACACTCTAGATCTAATTAATAGCACACGGAGCCACATCCGATAGAAAAGTGCAGCAATGTTGGAGCGGTGTTGAGTATTACGAATAAGTGACTACCCAAAAATCAAAAAATTATTTCAATAACTTTCTCTTAACGTGCCGATTGAAACAGCTATTGTCATGTGTAGAAAGATAAATGAATTAACATATATAGCTACTACATTCTGATATGAAATAAGGGCAGACAATCTGGTGTCTCAATTCTCACATTTGATAGTATCTTCAAATGTAAGGAAGTTACTGTAAAACTGCACCATGCTTGTTTTATGTACATTTTGCAATGTCGGAGAACGAGGACATTGGTATGTTCATTAGTAGAGCGGTTGAGCAGCGCTACGTGTACATGTACGCCTACGTGTAGCTTACACGTACACGTGACCGTGAGTAAATCTTACGCACGGGTACATGTGCTGGTATATGTAAATCGGCTTTGATTGGTCACATTTTCCGACTCTAAACAAGTCTGTAACACGCTTAAAATCGTGTGAATTTAGTTAGTAATGGCGGCAAATCTTTGGCTGCCATGGAAGATAACGATGATATTTTGCTGCTTTCTGCTTTGAAAGAAGATAATACTTTGTCCGACAGATATATTAAATTACATGAACTCAGTGACGATCAGTGCCGTAAGTGCTTCAGATTTACTAGAGAAGATTTATTCACACCTTAAGAAACCCTACTGCTACCTGACGAATTGCGCTGCTCGAATCGTACAACTTGTTCAGGGCATTGATGGTCTGTGCATTCTCCTTAGAAGACTCTCTTATCCAAATCGGCTTGAAGACTTAAAACACTTTTTGGCAGATCGACTTCAGAATTGTCGCACATTTTAATACTGTTTTAAATTACATTTATAACATGCACAGTCATTTACTAGACAATCTGGACAAACCTATTGGCATGGTCATCTAGAAGATATGTCTCGATCCATTCATTACCAAGCTTCACCTCTCACTAACTGCTTGGGGTTTATTGATGGTACTGTAGACCGATATGCGGCCTCGACAAAACCCAAACTCGTTTTCAATGGACATAAACGTGTACATGGTTTGAAGTACCAGAGTATAGCAACACCCAATGGAATGATAGCCCATTTTTATGGCCCCATTGAAGGCCGACGCCATGACGCTGGTATGTTGAGAGAAAGTGGGTTGAAAATGACATGTCAGAGAATATGACAACTCAAAACAATGATCTGTTTTGTGTATATGGTGACCCAGCGTATTTCACTCTTACATAATAGTGACATACAGAGGAGGCGTGTTAACAGCGAATCTAGCTCTATTCAACACGAATATGTCAACCGTCAGAGTCTGTGTTGAGTGGACTTTTGGCAAGTTGCTCACACTATTTGCATTTCTAGATTTCAAGAAGAACCAAAACTGTATTTGCAGCCAGTTGGTAAATACTACAAAGTTGCTGCTATCCTCACAAACTGCCACACTTGCCTGTATGGAAGTGAAACTAGCTCTTTCTTTCCAGCTCGATCCACCATCACTTCAAGAATACATACGCTCCTAAACTAGATTATAACTGTTTGAGACATGTGCTTTCATGTAGAGTGAGTGAGTATGGTTTTACGCCGCTTTTAAGCAATATTCCAGCAATATCACGGCGGGAGACACCAGAAATGAAGACAAAGTGCATTCAATGTTACAGTACAATTATGTGTAGGCAATTTCCTTTGCGAAAAACGCTAGCTATGCGTCTTAGTGAGGTACTACTTCCCTCTTAGTAGGGCTTGTCTCATCCGAGTTGATCTGAATTTTGAGAACACAAATACATATTGAAGACCTTTACATGTCAAGAAGACAACAGTAACATCGATAAACAATTGTAACTGTGCATAAGTGGTCTGACATGAAGTGCGTCCTCTTCCCTAACTCGCCTAGCATCGACTTTGAAGTCTGACCGTGTACTCTGTCAAGTTGTCTGCTGCTGTTTGTCATTTTCCTTTGTCTTTGAATCGGGTTGACCGCCAACACTTCAATTTGACATCAATTTGACATCGTCTTTGAGAAAAACCTGACTTGTGTTTTGCGTTGTGCCATACTGAAATACGAAATTATTCATAAAGACACATGTCTGGGAACATACTCCTCATGATAAATAATTACATTATCAACGATTCTAATGATGACCTTCCTTTAGCGATAGGTTAACTCTTGTGTCTAGACGGCAGCATAAAACGCGTTATATTTCACAAAATCTGGTCACTAATTTATTACTGGATGATACCTTGATACTTATCTTAACACATTATCTTAACATATCTATATATTTCCGTGGATTGTACAAAACAACATCTAGGTTTTACAGTCAGAATTACGGCAGAAATTAAACTCGTTTTTACTTCATTTAAATAATGCCCCGAATAGATATTAAACAATTAGATACTTTTACCGTGTATCTTAATGTGGACAATACGAGCATCCGTTTGACATCTAAGTCACATGCAACCAAAAAATCAAACATAATTAAAAACACAATTATCACTTCTTATTCATAACATATAATATACATTGCTGGTTGGGTGAACATATTACCAACTATAAGAGTACAACCGCAAATCAAAAGTACTCATATTGTGTTCTTGGGTTAACTTCCCTAGAAACGAAGCAGCCGGGGAAGAGAGAGAGAGAGAGAGAGAGAGAGAGAGAGAGAGAGAGAGAGAGAGAGAGAGAGAGACAGAGAGAGAGAGAGAGAGAGAGAGAGAGAGAGAGGAGAGAGAGAGAGGAGAGAGAGAGAGAGAGAGAGAGAGAGAGAGGATATTGTGGAGCTGACAGTGACAATTACTTATATGCCACCAAGAACACGTTTGCATACCCAAAACATTTGATACTTTGAATCAAAATAACACTGTGTAATAATCTATAAATGAATTGAATTCATTGTTTCACATGAAGCAACTGTTAGTAGTAAGCAAGCCAGCGCTTTTCCGAGGTGACGTAATATGCCCTCGGGAAAGCGCTGGCCCACTCACCATGACCTCCCCCGTGACGTCGTGGAAAAGATTCTCCGCCACCACCATGACGTTATTACGTTTGACCGCCCTGTGAAGCTCGGAAAAAAGGTCATGCCACCACTGTCACAGTTGATCAGGGTCCCGTGACGTAGGAAAAGACCCCTGGGTACGTCACGTGGAGGCGATGATGGAAGTAAGAGGAAAGCCAACCACGAGCGGACCACGCCATGACATAGGAAAACGACGTCACAGTGTCCTTCATGTAGGGAAAAAGGCGCTGACCCGCCATGACTATCTCTTGTGACATCACACAATAAATGGCGACCATAAGAATCCGGAGTGAGTCCTCGTCAAATAATCCTTAACTGCTCCATTTCTTTTAATACTCACCATTAGCGTACCATTAAATTTTGAAGGAGGCTAGGAATGTCGTACAGTCTATGTGTAAAGTTTCTACAATACTAGACTGCGAAGATATACCTAGACGCCTTTAATCGCGCGTCTGTGTAAAGCTCTACTACAATACTAGGGTGGTACCCGGTAAATTCGGTGGTAAATGTCGAAGACGATTGAGCTGCCTGGCTATCCTTTGCCAGCGATGCCGTGTGTGGTTTCCTACTGCGGACTGTCACGAGGCTCATATCGCCAATCGTATTTGCGTGCAGAAGAGAATCTGGTGCCCCCACGCCGCGACCGACAGAAATGCGGATCGCCTTAATGTCTCTAAAGTTGACAAAACAAAGTAAAGTACCGTCGGTGTAAGACTCCTTTCGGACCCTCTCAATTGATGCCACATGCCCTGTCGACGTCGCCGAGAGAATGAGGACTGTATAGACCATGATCTCACCCAAGTATATATTTTATGATTTTGAATCCATGTGGCGATGAAAATCTGCAAACACATACCCAACCTAGGCGCTCTCCAGCCTGGTTATGTAAGTGCATGGGTTCAGAGTCTGAATACTTGTATGCGAGACGTGTCCATGGCGCATCGAGAAAATAATAACCTATTAAGTGCACTCCCAGGATAATAAACGGAAATAGCTCATAGACGGTCCCCTATACCGAGACACCCCCTCGTCAGTTTTTTCCCGGCTAGTGCAATTACCCACCCTCCGGAAACACGCCCGAATACTGACAACCTTATCGCCCGAGGAGGATAATGCCACTGTTCAAAATGCTACCGCTGCTGACCAATGATGATCTAATGACGGTGGGTGGCAACTCCAGCCATCGTGGTCGTGGCTCACTACGCTTAGTGGGTTGCGACAAACCATTTCATTTTGAAATCGTTACAGCAGAACATCTTTGGCAAAAGCTGGAGGTTATGTATTGACCGGAGCAAAAATTTTGAACATGTCTGTAGGGAGACTTCTAATTCGGGCGAGGGACTTCACAACTATATCCC